GAATGCTGATTAATCGTATCCAGGAACAGAACCTTCAATTACAAAGGACATGATTTTAATAGATTAAACTATGAACGTTGCATTTGCATAAAATTAAAATCGAAACAATCGTTACTCGAAAATTGAGTTGCCCCAATAATGTACTTACTACACAGACACAATAACAAAAATATAAATGTTGACAAAAACGATCACATAAATATAAATAAATGCAATCAACAAATAAAAATTAAACTAAATTACAATTTGATATAATACATACACATAAAAAATTATATTAAGGTTTTTATAGAGGACGATCTCATCATACAGCCCTTTAGCCCTGTATGCAGTAGAAGACAAAATAGTTTATTCTCCATATTGGTATAACTACTTATTCACGTTCACTGCATTATTACCTAAAATTGCTGTTGAAAACAATTGCGATTTTTTTATATTTCATCCCACGAGAAAATAAATATTAATTCTAACTTGGAGTATATCAAGCAACCCCGTATTTAGTTACGGAGAAAATATTGGTGTAACATCAATTTAATAGCAAATATTACAGTTTTACTTAACATCATTTTGATTATTCATGAATATTTTATGGAATACCTTTTCAAATAATAAAAATCCCTATCTACTACAAGCATTGTACATTATTAAAATTATTAACGGTGTTTACTACCTTAATAAATTGTTTGGAACTTTAATTACACAAAAACGTTAATATTTAAAAAATATATATGTAAAATTACATATGCACAGTTACCAGTGGACGTCCGATACAGAGGTTACAGGCTATACCTAATCAGTTACGTAATCACTAACCTCCCTTAGGCTAGTAATTATACCGATTATTACTCCATGGACAAACACAATTGTATATTTTCATCCCAATCAGCGTCACTTATTTAATGTTAATCTTGTTTCTACTGCGATGATTTGTTTTGTCATGTTGTTATGAATTATTAAGGTTCTAATCAATACAACTGCCCCAACTTTTAAATTTAATAACATGCTTTGTTTTAAAATTAAATTTTGAAAACGATGATGTCTATTTTCATTGTTTGATTTATTACTATTGGTAAATTTATTCCAACATCATTAATAAATGTATGGCAAAGATTTTTTGTATTCACTGAATCTCTGGTAAAAAAAACTATAATTAATATTAAACTTTTTAAACCATTGGGTAAACCAAAAGTCTTAGAAGCAAATGTAAGACGAGTGATCTCATAGTCTAATTTTTGTGTTTATTAACAAATAGTATCTCAGAAGAATATTTATCATTCACTGACATAAAAAATAACAAACAAAAAAATCAAATAAGGGATCAAAATACGGTAAAAATCAAACCGTGTTTGGGTGAATCGGCAATACTCTCACCAGACCTAAATACACTGTAAACGGACAAATATTGGAAAGGAATCCATAAGATGACAGGGAAAAACAAAAACTTGGATTAGATTGGCTTATCAAGACATTCAAGAGTAAATACAGAGCAATAGTTGTTCTAATAGCGGAATCCTACAACCGTCACAAAATTCTTTTCAGCGAAAGAGTGGTATTGCTGGCCTGAATTCCTAAAAGGAATACAGGAACAATTAAGTCAAAGTACGTTAGGTAGATTAAGTACGTCAACCGACAAATTATGTACTTTATATATTTTATTATGTTTGTAAGAAACAATTTACAAAATAAAACAAAACTATTGTACCCTTCACGAGGTTAAACCTAAGATGCTAAATCTCCTATAAAGACTTAGAGTTCATTAGGAAAAGCCATCGAGAAAAAATAATTTACCACGCACAATACCTTGCCATCAGGCATCGCAAAAATATGTAATGCTATAAAATAAATAAACGAAAAGTTATAGTAGTTTAGTAGCTCTGTTGGTAGCGAACAGAGAGCACAGAATTTTATATTCTGTGCTCTCTGATAGCGAAATGGCCTGAGAAGACAGTGATTCCGTGGGTTTGTGTCCAGATGACACGGGTCGCCGGAATTTTATCCCCCTGGAATTTTACCCCCTGGGCAAAGCTGACGTCACTATGACGTAGTAACCTGAGTGGCCAAAAGTTTGTTCGCGGCCGGAATTTTACCCCCCCGGATTTGGAAGTCTAATGAAAATAGTCAGAGCGTGATTAATTAGATTAGCGATCAAAACCGGAATTTTACCCCCTGTCCATATAACTATCGTTTAGGCAACTGAAGATGTACGGGCCGGATCTTTACCCCCGGAATTTTACCCCCCGGAATTTTACCCCCCGGAATTTTACCCCCCGGAATTTTACCCCCTGGCTGATTTTAGAAATTGAAGGATTGATTTTCTTATTTCTGTTTTTAATTAATTGTAATCATTTCATTATTTAGTAGCCTATCTTTATTTATTTATTTTGTAATCTCAACTAAGTAAACAGAATTCGCTGTTTTATTTTGATCATATTAACCAACAGTTGGCTTCAAAGACCGAATCCTGACACTCGAATCTCAAAATTAATATTAAACCCCTGTTCGATTAGTTAATGTTACATATAAAATTAAGATAGGCTACTTAATAATAAAATGTTTACCATTAAATTAAAACTGAATGACGATAATTAATCATTCTCACTAATTTATATCTGGCCAGGGGGTAAAATTCCGGGGGGTAAAACTCCGGGGGGTAAAATTCCGGGGGGTAAAATTCCGGGGGTAAAGTTCCGGGGGTAAAAAACCGGGCCGTAAATTCTAGGTTTTTATAATTTGATGAGTTCTGATTAAACTCACAACCGTGAAAATATATGTTTAATTCCGCGTTTAATCCATCGAGCTGATATTGCGAAACTCAAAAGTTCGCGGCCGGAATTTTACCCCCTGGTTTGTGACGTCACGTTTGCCCAGGGGGTAAAATTCCAGGGGGATAAAAATCCGCTACCCCGATGACACACCCCGTATATGTATTTATCAGTAGGTACTATTTGTTTCTGGTACTAAATCAGTTCACTTTCTTACCTTGATACTTCAAGCACTAAAACCCATGTTGACGGACAAATGTAAAGTTAAAAGAGACTGGCAACCAATTAAAAAGTTATTCAACATATCTTACAAAGTGAACGATTTTTAATTTACTTCTGTATTTTAACTACGTTTGTTCATAAAAGTTCAAACACAACATAATCGAACCAATATTTCTCTAGCAAAACTTCTTATCACGTATAAAGTACTTTTGACACGAGGTCTTGAGATCGCAAATAATAATTCAAAGCTACGAGAAATTTAAGAAGATTTATATTCAACATTAGCTACAAGTCTACACGGCCACCAAGCAGCACCGCGTTAAATGGTCCATAAATTACGATCCACATTCAAACCTGGCGTGGCAGTATCATCGCGAGTGTTGGTACTTACCCCACGATGTCATTAGCTAAACAGTCGAGGCAGTAAAAGACATCACCCGTGACTCTTACAGTACGTTGTACCCACGTTGAATTTATGTTGTAGATACTTTGTAAGTGTCTGAAGAATAATTCAAATATTCCGTGTACAGTTCCGTGAACAGTTGTATCTAAAAAGACTGTACAAAAATTAAGGATGACTTGAAGAAACCATATATTTATTCTGGAGAGATTACAGGAAAATCAAGGGGGAACCAGGATCATAATGTTATTAGATCAAATTTTCTAGATTGAGCAAGAGCTACTCAATAGTATATTAATGGAAGAAATTGCCACACCATTGGTCATCCACTCAATGAATAAACAAGCAGGGCGTAAGATGGAGATACTACTTGTAAAGGAACGATATGGAAAGGAACTCGCAAAAAAATAGATTAGGTGCTATATTTTATCATGTACTGAGTTGAAATAAAATACTTACTAAAATACAACAAGGTCTAATGTGTGGATAACAAATAAAATAGTACAATATAATAATTTCACTAAATCATACCATTGGAGCATACCTAACTATGATGTTTGATTATTAAATTGTATTGTAATTTACTCTAATAACTCTATTTGTAGTAATAAGCTTGGGTATAAAATATCGTGTTATAAAAAAAAATTTAATATGGTGTTTTCATGTTCCTAGTGATTAGTATTGTCTACATTATAATAAATTTATATCGTAAAATACACCCATACATAGTTAATTTTTACATGTCTATTCGTCCATATTAGTTTGTCTTTATTAATCTGTCCACGATCTAAACTATTTCTACTAACAGTTCACAAACCGTTAAGTAGTTTTTCTTTTCCAAATAAATTAATCAGTAGCCTCTGAACCTTTTTAAAAATGTTCTTTAATCGACACTGTACTTACAAAATGTACTTAATTTCAACCTTCTGAAATCAATAGTTTCATCCATTTTCTCAGACGTCTGTAAACTACTAATCATGTGAGATTGGTCATAATATATAAACAATCAAACAACATATTGATGATTGCTTTTGAAACTAATCTAATTTATTTTAAGCTATTTATTGCTCCTAGTTAATTTTTTACTTCCACAGTTTGTTAAGCAATAAAATAATCCCTCTGTGTACAAATGGACCCATGAGTGGAGAACGAAAGTGGGAAAGTGGCAGTCATAAATCTGTCAAGCACAAACGAAAAGGGATAACAATACATTCAACTGTTCGTGTCAGTAAACTGGTATAACTTTTTTATCTCTCGATGCATGTTTTAGTGGACAAATGAAAAATGTGTTGTACATTTTATTCAGGGAGACACTGACAGGTCGAATAGCACTGAAAGAAATGCCTGACCCTCCCAAAACTGTATATATCAAGGGCTGTATCATTTCACATCGGTATTCGATATATATATGGACAACAGAATCATTAGTTTGCATCAAAGAAATGTTTCAGTGTCTCAATTTAACAATTTTATTTTATTTTAAAACTGTCTACAGACAGATTAAAAGCACATTGATAAAACTATGACATTGATAGAAGAATGTATTGTCTAATTATACTCATGGGCAAAGGTTTCACTTAATTTAAATTAATACTTTTATAAACTGATAAAATTACCTTGACACAAAAATCACATAATCCAAAGGCTCCATGGTGGAAAAGAACAGTCAATGAAACAAAACTAGGCACTGGTAAAGTAACACTTTAAGCACTCATAGTTGCAACTTAATCCCCGAAAGAACACCATTCCGCATGGACGGCCCGCGATGAAGACTGTAGAAAGGGTGGAGGGATCCGAGGTGTGCTTGGCCCTAGGCCAGCCATGTAGACTGGCCTAGGGCCAGCGGTGGGCAGGTAGCAGAAATAGCGGCGGATCACCTAGGCATGCGGTGAGGCGGCAAGGGAAGATGACAACATTTACTGTGTTGACTTTTAGAGGCCAACCTACTAATTTGTCAAGAGGATGAAGTCAGATGCCATTTGTAATTTAGACAGTTAAATCCCACGTGCATTTCAGGAAACAGGTAAAAACGTCGTTGGTTGAAGAGTCATGTAAGAACCTCCTGTTTTGTTACTTGATTTAATTAATTAAATGAATAAATAAACCATTCATTTTCCAAACAAACTATTGTACAGATATTTGCAGGAACCTATAGGAACCTATATAATAGCATACACAGTTTTCAAATGTGAAGGAATTGAAAAAAATAATAGAAATCAGAAAATAAGTATAGATTTATATTACTCAAATAGTTAACATTTAAACTGTACAACGCTTTGAATATGAGCAGCACATTGACATCAGAAGGATTAATCGCTAAATAATGCGAACATTGTTGAACCGAATAACAGTTAGTTTTCTGTGTGTTTAAAACTACTTCAGGTAACTTTTAGGTTATATATTACTCCTTAGTTTTTAGTTAAAGACTGTAGGCCTATACCAATTTCAGTTTGAACAAAGGTCATACAGACGGTTATAAGGAAAGTGGTCCATACTCGATATTTAGTGGAGATGTCGAGAATTGAACCCGTTCCTCTCGCACATAAGTCCGAGACGATAACCACGACACTAGAAGCACACCCTATGGTATAGTGAGTCAGGATTACTGATTTATTGTTTGTATCATTAACAATTTAACAAATAGCCTACAGCGTTACCTATGATTTTACCTTACAAGAAAGAGGTTTATATAGAATTCTAATAAGGAAGGGTATGCAAATGCTAACTTTGTTTATTCAATCTAATAAAAAAAAACATTATTTGAGTGACCTCAACATCTAGGATTGGGAGATAACAATTTATTTAAGTTATACTGGTGAATACGTTCAGTATTCTGAGGGAAAATGTATAGGAAAACAGTCCCACGTTTTCAGCGTTAATAGCTCTCTGCATAACATTCACGCTTTTAACTGAAAAATAAATCATTGCCACTTTTGTAACACTGCATACATTTACATACTTCGTTGGTTGGTCGCTTTCAATTAAACATGTTTGAAACATTATGACGATGAATAATGCATGTTTAGTTTAAATCAAGCTGTTGCTTGAACATGGAATGTTTCATATAAACTAATAATATCATATTTTGTTAAAAATAATATTGTAGACATTCAGACATTCTCTTCAGTTTTCAATGTTTTAAATTCAAGAAATTATTAATCAATTCAATAAATATTAAAAAAACTAACCAGTAAACCAAGCAGGTTATGATTTTTGAAAGTGTTTCGGAGCACCCAACAAAGATTTAAGAGCTAGAACAAGAACGTTGTATAGAAACAAAGAAAAAATGTTTAAAAAATAGCCAAGGGCAGTCAAAACGTAGAATCTTATCCAAATTGAGATGAAACTGAGATCAATTGTCAACATGTCTAAATATATCTGATGAATACTAAACAGTGATTTTGTGTTCACTTTAAATCCTTGAATGTAGGCCTACTAAAAATATCGCTGCGATGTTGTGAGGGTTGTGTGTATACTCGTTTTTCACGTGGAAATTCTTACCACATGGCGACGAGTTCTTCATCGTATCAACGAGTGATTGAAAAGGTCTGAATATCATTGGACCATCATAAACTAGCGAATTTAACAAATAATGGATGTAATTTCAAGGCGGATAAATTACCGAGAAATATCAATATTGCCTTACCCTACTTAAACCCCCGCCACAGCACACCTGCCGTCTAAGCGAATTTCCATCTGCCTGAATATATTTTCAATTAAATCTATTTATATAACACTATACTTATCGAGTACCTAGGTTTGCTACTACAAGGAAACTAATAAAGTGTGTTTTTTAGAAAATATAAATAGCTTAGTATAAATAAATACATTTCTAAAGTTTGATCAAAATATATCCATCAACAAGCAAACCACAACATTTTATAAAATTCTCCATAAAAATAACATGTAAATTTTAAAATTAATTTTTTTTTTTCTCCACTACCAATAACCGTACAAAAACACTTTGATATTCTGAATTATTAGTTTTTAAGTTCTTTAAAATGGTCGAGAAAGAAATTGGGAAACTTTGTGTTTTGGGGGTCAAAAATAAGAAAACCCTTTATCCCATTAAACCTCGTTCCCACGGTCAGATAATGCTGGTTCGCGAACTAATTCAAGTTTATCCCATCGTACACCTTAAAACCAAATTTCATCAAAATCGGACAAAAATTACTCAAGATATCGTGTTCCAGGCCACATATATATACATGTTTAAATATTTGAGCGAATTGTGTTTTTGGTCTCTGGGGACATCAAAATGAAAAAGTAAATCGGTCCCAGGCATAGATCTTACCGTGCCACATACGGTAATAGCTACTTTCCTATAGTGAAATTCGCTAAAACTAGAGTTCTGGATGCTGATTATTTTCCTCTTTTTAAGAGTGGGGAGAACGAAAATGGCGATATGGCATTCCTTAATATTTCCTTAGGATTTAGTCACTTTTGTCTGCCTCGATGTAATTTTTAATAATCCTTTCCGGAGATGAAATATACTATCGGTTTTTAACACCTCCAAAAATATGATACAAACTACTTTCTCCCAACAGGACATCACTAGTATTGGATCAAGAAACTTAATGATTTAATGATAAATCAAACAGCTTGAATCTGGTCTAGCTGATCGTCAGAGTTGCTGGTGGTTTGTTTGGATTCTTTGACTCGTTTAAAACAAGAAATTGCTCTTAGACCAATCAAAGGTGAGAGTGACATGCGCAGAAAGTGGATAGCTAGAAAGAATTGGGAGCAAATTCGAAGCGGATATGTTTATAAGAAAAACATTGGAAAAATGATATATTCGAATCCATAGATTAAATACATTTTAAAAATAAACCATTTTATTATGTGCCAGACTCTGGGTGTGTGTAGACGATACATTAATAGTCAGACGGGGTAAAAACTGAACAATGTAAAAACATTCTAAACATAATGGAGTTTGATTTAATAATAATCGCATTTGTTTGACGATCTACTAATAGCACAGAAAGAAGTGTTAGACAGTAATCCTTTAAATAGCCTGGTACGTAACCAAGACTTTAAATGCGGCTGGATAGTTCGCGGCTATTTAGTTTTTGTTTTATTAGGTTGGCCATCCTACTGGACAGCCGTGCCAACATTCCACGGTGTAACTTTTGTCTTTATCTGTTGACAACTCCTTTGTGTTTGCAATTGTGTCTTAGCTACTTTGTGATTTTGATAATTTTCTACAATTTAAGTTAAACTTGTAAATGTAAATTAGACATAGATAATCAAATTAATCAAATGAATAAAGAATAAATCAACTACATGGGATGTGGATTAAGTTCTTGATAGCAATCAAGGACTTATTAGATCTAGTAAGAAGATAGGTTTGTGTCATAATAGAATTAAGATTAAGCAACTTCAAGATACATTACACTGAGTTCCGAAAGTGTGTTTTGGCATTATTTTATGTCGTTCTCGTAATAACAAAGATTACGAAAACGCTTGTCATTTGATGGTTATTTCTATAACTAAATAGATTTGTTTCTATTTGATTTCACTAGAGCTATTCATTAAATCACACGAGACCTGCTACTGACAGGACCAAGTTAAGGAGAAAGAATCGTCTTTGTTCATTGTCCTGTGAGATGGATAGGCTAAGGGTCATCAGTCTGTGTCTGCGGGCTTAGGCATTCTTTGTTCTTTTCTAGTTTTGAAGAAGAAGAAAACAAATTATTATTAATAATTATAATTTTCGATGAGCTTATTAGACTTAACTCAAATATAATGGATATAATGTAAATATGTATATTGTAACCAAAATTGCATACAAAATTTTTTTGAAAATATTTTACTGTTTTCAAAAGAATTACCTTGATTTTATTGTTTTCCATCAATATTCTCTACCTCCAAAAGGACATTGCCTGACTACCCGTAGCTAAATGAAGCTATTTTTGTGATTTTTTCATTGATGATGTAGACTACATGGTACTATTTTTGTTGCTGTTCACAAGATATTTTAAGTATTTTTTTTTTTATAGCGAACCAAGTAAACAACATTACTCGCAGTAACAGTAGCCACCAATTTCGTCCGTTAGCCACCTGTCACTACTAGATTTACTTAAATTGGTAATCTTTTGGAACCACTATTAATAGACCTAAAATAGAATATACTTACCTGAGCAAATGTAGAGTTGTAGGGCCTGACGTTTTTTGTTTACCTTATCTAACTGTGAATTGATCCGTTCAATAAAAGTTTTTAAAACAGTTATTTGGGTATGTACAAAATCTCTTCTCTGTAACTGTAACTAAAAAGATTTTAAAGAATAAAATTTTTAAGGATTGAAGTATAACTTTATCTTTATGGCAAAACTAATTTAATGTCCTTGACGGAACAGTTTGATTTCACCTGAAAAAGTGTTACCCTGCAAAGATGATAAAGGTCCGTATTTTGGTATCACTTCGGCAGACATTCTAGTTCACAGTTTGTAGGAATGAATGTTGTGTTCTTAGTTATATATTACAGTAAGCACAATACAATCCTAAAATATATTATCTCTATTTCTCTTATTTGGTGTCGTACTTTCCTACGTTTCCATTATATGCAAATAGGTTATTTCAATGATTGCTCAAACAATTTAGAACTTATATAACGTTTATTACACTATTTTATTTGGTTTCCTTAACTTAACCTACAATTTTAAATATTAAAATTTGTTTCAATAAATAATAGTATAACATTATCCAGCTGATCATAATGTGAGCAAATCTGATCTCCATGAGGATAACATGGGAGACTGGAACAGAGCCCCAAGGGAATAAACTTTTTT